ACCGAATGGAGATGAAGAGCCATGTTCTTCAGACACAAAGCTACCTGTCTGTAACGACACATTAGCTCACTACCGAATGGAGATGAAGAGCCATCCCCTCATGGTTTCTTAACTTGTACAACTGGAATGACCTCTTAACCCTTTGATGAGTTCTTGAGTGAAGTTGGTGAAGCATAAGACAAAATATATATCAACATTAACCGCTGTTATTATCGCATATTAATGTTATTACATTATATATTGGGTGAAAACATATCAGTATAATTTTCCCCATTTCCGAGATGTTTTCAAAGTACTGTACATATGTAAATATCTAGAATAAATATGTGTAAATACTACTAGTACTGGTATTCCATGGTGTTAAAAAAACATGGACATATGTTGGTATACTAACATAATACCAGCATTATAATAGTACATGTTTTGTCATTTAAATTTTTTTTCCTCCTGTTTTACAAATAATAGATTTATACTAAAACAAGGCCACAGACTGTTACTGGACCCGATACCACAGAATCCTCAAGAGGCACAAAAAAACCGTCTATTTATTTCTTTAAAAAGTTAGCATTTTATTAGACTTTTTCTATTATTGTAATTATTGCCACATGGAAATAAAAGTGTAAAGAAAGATTCTTTCATTGGTTTCATCTTAATGAGGGCATTAATGGGAAACACATGGCCTTCAGTACTCACACATTCACACGTATGAACCATTTAGAATCTGTATGTTCTCCTACATGAGGAAAACATACAGACTGTTCAGAGAAAGGACGAACAAACACAAGATGTTGAGTTAAACATGGTTTCACATACAGCAAGTTATCCATTACAATATTGAATATTATTGTGGACTTCCTGGTAATTTAGAGTGCGACGTTGCTGCAAAGGTGTACGTGTAAGGACTACACCCGGCCTGTAGGAGGCGCTGTATGTAGACAGTGTGACCGGCGGGCTGCTGGAGGAGGAGGTGTAGGGCGGGTGTACGGGCATCATGCTGCCGCAGGAGAACGCCACCGAGCCGTTAGGGAAAGCCACGCCCTCCTGCACGCGGCACACACACAGCGCTGCTAGGAGCAACGCAGCGGCCTGAAGAGGCATCTGAAACAGACCGGAAACAGCACTGTTTATTAAACATGGAGAACATGTGTTTGCTTTATGGACAGCATAAATGTCCCAGCAAGTCCAATTTCTGATATGCATGTGCATCAACCAAGCTTTTCTTTTCATGAAAAAAGAAGCAGATGGTGAACCAGGTCTTTAACAAATGTCCCAATGAATACTGACTCGGAGAACAATAGGTTCTGCACGTGACACCAGGAAAATGAATGAGAAACAAACCGATAAAGTGAAACTCTAGAGGACGCCTCAATGGAGGGCTTTACGGAAAATTAAAATGTAAGATTTTCCCAAGAATGTAACTCTTGGAAATTTAAGGAGAAAACCTGCCGTTATTCAACATTCTTCGTATGGTCAGCGAATCCGATGAAAGACCAAAACCAACAATTTCCTATCCAATAATACTATCAGATTTCCTGAAGTCTGTGTCCAATTCATTTCTACTGGAGATGTAAATCTTCACAAATGAAGCGTCAACAAACAGCCACAGATGAATACATATCCGACACTGTACTGAGTGTTTGTGTCTGTGGGTTGACTTGAAATAAACTACATGTTGTGTGTTCATGATAACCAAGATATTTGTACTTCAGTATATGTCCATTTTATTACTTCACAATACTACTCAAGTACATTTCAGAGGGACATATTTACTTGATATAACAGACTTAAGTAGCACATTGTTGTAGACTAAACCTGTAACTCCTCCACAAGCTTCCTCAGTTAAATTTTCCTTGTTTTTACATTTATGTTACATTCATTTTGATGTTTCCTGTTTTATATTTACACTCAGCTCTCCCTCTCCACTCAGATAACTTCACTTCCTGCCCTTGTGGGCTTCCCGCCAGTGTGATTACCTTTCCCCGCGCTGATCATCTTCACCTGTTTCTTCTCCTCCCCCCCCCTCACCTCCCCACTAGC